TCTCCCTCTGGCAGGTTCTCTCCCCTCCCCCTCCCCTCTGTGGCCGCGCTGAACTTCAGAGTACAGGCTGTGTGCCCAAGCAGGGGGTGAAAAGCAAGCCCAACTCTCAAAAAGCACAATCCAGGTACCAACTGGTCTCCTTCTTGCCCCCAAGATGGAGGCAAAGGTGCACTGAAGCCCAGGACGAGGTCAGATTGGGGTGGAGGGACTCATGCGCCCTGGATTCCCCAGTGATCCTGCTCTCCCATCAGCCAGACCCAGCTTAGCCTCTGCAGTGCTCCCTGTGCCTGAGAGAGGGGGCGCCCTCCTCCCCCCTTCCCTTGGCCCCAGCCCCAGCTCCCTCCTGTTCCTTTCTCTCACTGTCTCCTGGAGCTCAAAGCATTTTGTTGGATTCCATAGAAGTTCTCCCAGAACTGAGCCTTAACCATCCCAAGCCATCGAAAGGCTGCTTTATCTTGGAGGTAACAAAACCCACCTTAGGAAGCATGTGGCAGAGGCTTTCTTCCTCCTTGGTTCTGGTTAGTGCACCTGAGATGAGCAATTTCAGAAGAGATTTCACTGAACACCAGGACTGGGGAAAAAAAAAAAAAGTAAACCAAGAAATTTTTAGATGCAGGGGCCCTAGATTCTGCTCCCCAGTTCCTGACCCACCTCTGTCTAAGAGGTGCTATCCTACCTCTGGGAAACTGAATCCCTTGCTCTATTCTTGACAGTTTCCATGTCAGGCTGCCCTCACCCAGGTGACTGGTGGGACGTCTTGATGGCCATGGGAAGTGACCTCACCCCTGAGGTCATCCTACCCCTTCATTCAGGGAGGAGCAGTTTTAAAAAAGGAGGAAAGAGAGGAAGAAAGGGGTCAGAAGAAGAAGGACCTTAAACTCAGTGATGTGGCCCTGGCCCAGGTGAAGTACCAACAAGGTGACTGAACATGGTGTCCTCAGGTCTTCTCTGTTGAGTTGTTGCCTCAAGCCAGGACCCTACCTCTGGGAAAGCTCTGCCCCAGGGCACTGGGCTTCCTGGGAGAAGGGAAGATAAGATTGGTTCATGGGCAGAAGGAAGTTGTGAAGTCAAAATGATGCTAAATATCCTCCAAGTCTCAGTGTCTCCAGTCCTTTGGTGAGGTTGTTGAGGAGGGGCTTTCTGAGGATCTGTCCCTCCCACCCACTCATCCATCCATCCTCCATCTATCCATCCGTCCATCCATCCGTCCATCCATCCGTCCATCCATCCGTCCATCCATCCATCCATCCATCCATCCATCCATCCATCCATCCATCCATCTTTCCTCTCATTTCCAAAAACATTTCTGGAGTACCACTTCTGAGTCAAGCAGGCACCTCACCTCTATGCTGGCAGTGTGGAGCCTGCTTTGGATTCTGTCTCCCTCTCTCTCTGTCCCTCCCCTGCTTGCACTCTCTCTCTCTCTCTCTCAAAATAAAATAAAAGTTAAAAAACTTAAAAAAGTCATTTATGGGTGGGAAGAGAGAATGATGCTTAAGAGAGCCACAGACCTGGGTTTGGACTCCAGCTCCCCCACTTACCAGCTGAGTTACCTGGGCACATTTCTGACATTGAGCCTTCGCTCAGCCTTATTAGTGAAGGAAATGTTACCACTCGTCTTGTTCTTAGGGTGGCTGGCAAGAAAGATGAGCTCATAGCTGTAAAGCACGGAGCTGGATCACTGGCCTTTTGCAGGGGCTCAGTACATTCTTTTCGCCTGCCCCGTGGGGTGGGATTGCCAGATAAAATACAGAATGCCCAGTTATGTTTGAATTTTTAGAGACTAAATTTTTAGTATAAATATGTCCCAAGTATGGGCAGCCTGTATGTTTATTTGCTAAATGTGGCAACTCTACCATGAAGTTGCATGCCGCCATCTTGGAACTGCCAGCCTAGAACCAGGAACACCTCCCACCGGGCTCTGTAACCCCAGGTGTCCCACAGGTGGTCCTGAACTTCTCGAGTCAACACTAACCTTTGACTGATCCACTTGAACTGAAGTATAAGGACATGCTCTCCGCCCTGAACTTTGTAGTTGGGAGTAGATATAGCACACACACTAGTGGGATTCTGTCCTTTAGCATTTCCATACTGAGACAGGTGAACAGAGGCACAAAGAACCTGCCTTCTAGGTGCTTACATTCTGGGAAGGGGAGATAGAAGAGAACCCTATGAGTAAACCACCCACCATCACAAAGTGGGATAAATGCTCTGAAATAGAGAGTGAGGGGTGCGGTGTAGCCAGGGTGAGTTTAATTGATTCTGAGTCATGGCCTGGTCAAAGTGCATACCTCGTCTTCATCAAATGCTTACTCTGTGTGTCTGTCTGCTTTCTCCCTCCATTCCCCAGTCCCCACGCCACCTCCCTCAAGCCCCAGAAATCTGCTCTCTTCTCTTTGGTCTCTGGAAAGCTGCTACAGCTTTTCTGATTTTTCCCCCCTCAAACCCACTGAGGAACATCTGGTTTCTTCTGGGAAGACAAATCCAGCGACCATTTATGTCTAGCAGAGTCATGAACATTTGCCTGTATGGCTCCTTAATTCATACACACATTTATATAGAATTCTGTACCTGTTTGCCAAGAGGAGCCTGTGGGAATCCTGGCTCATACACATTGCAGGATATCTTTTCTACTGGCAGCTGCCAGCATTTCCCAGTCCAGTTATTGGCATTTGACCATTTCTTATGAAGTGAGTTCACGAATGGGAGTAGGGGAGTTGATGTCGTCCAGGCAGAAGGCTCTCACGCCCACAGGGACATGCGCCGGAGGCTGGTACACGTTCACACACGGTGTGTGGAGGAATGAGGACTGGAGCAGGGGTGTGAGGAGGGGAGCCAGCTAAGCACAACTAGACCAGGTCCTGGCAGGGAGGGCGGGTGAGGGGAGGTCGGCCTTGGGGTGGGGAAGTGAGTTGTAAACTAGGTGCTTCTCTCTACCTCTTCCCTCTGTCTCATAAATGGAACTCTCTGCCCAGTGTTCCCCGTGTCCTGTGGGCTGCAGTGGTGGGATCTCACCTCCTCACTCATACCTGATCATTCTCCACACAGGCTGGGGAGGGAGGTTTGGATCTGGTGAGATTGTCCAAGTATAGACAATGAGTTGTGAGAATCACTCCTCCTTCCTCCTTGGAAATAGGACTACAGCAGGTCTCTTACTCAGAGAGGACAGAGAGTAGAAAATGGATAGTTGCTTAGGGGGACCAGGGTAGTCAGATACCACCCCTCAGGCCAGCCTGGGACTTAGGGAGCAAAGCATCTGAATCCTCAGCCTTTAACTGGGCCTGTTGGGGGAAGGGGTGTGGGGTGAAGACAAAGAACCAAGAAAGACCAAAGGCCAAGCTAGGAGATTCGTAGGAGAAGACCAAGGGCAAGACCAGTGCACATCAGTTTGGTTCAGAGCATTGAATACAAGATTAAAAAGAAGAAACAGCCCCTACCTTTGGGGAAAGTACAGTCTACACAGTCATCGCCAGAACTTGGTGGCCTCGAAGGCTGGACGGGGGGGCCTTTCCCAGCGGCTACATCTTCAGGATCATGAGGCCCTAGTTCAGCAATGACAGATTCTGGCTCTGAGTGAGACATGTGGGGGATGGGCAGAGAGGTAAAAGTCCAGAAAGAGGTTCTGTTTTTGAGGGACTTTTAGGAGGATGCTCTCAAGAGGAACAAGAAACTGAAATTCATGGTGGTCCTGTGTCATCTCTGTCAGGCACCTTCCTGAAAGAGGGCACAGCGCCAAGTCATGTTTTCTAGGTGACCTTAAGCAATGGGTTAAGGTCACCTACAATAGGAGGACCCCCACCTGACCCTGGTTTTCCAGCTCTGGGGGTTCCCATTTATTGAGTGGCTAATGGCAGGCCATAAAGTAGGCAACGGGTGGTTACACGTCAGGAGCAGGTGTGTGTTTATTTGTACCTTTGTTCCCCAAAACAGTTTAATATAACACATAAGCACACCCAAGACTTCACATTGGAAACACGTAAGCGAGGAAAGTGAGCCAAAGGGAAAACAAGAAAAAGCGTGATGAAGCCAGGGATGCGTTCAGTACTGGAAATCTGTGCTTGAAGGGCCTGTGCACTTGACGCTGTACTTCCTGAGAACCAGTCCCAAGAGCGAAACAGGTTGAGTTATGAGTTTCATAGTGTCCACAGGATCAAAACCAGCCCCGTGCTCTGAAGAAGCAGGGCCACCCAGAAAAGCCATGAGTCCTCGTCCGCATGCGGAGGATGGAGACGTGTGCTTCTGGAAAGTAACCTTCGAGGTCCCTCAGCTGCACCCAATGGTGCGAGTGTGGCCGATGCATTGGGCGGGTCTGAGCGGATGCAGTGCAGCCCCTTGGCAGGCACAGTGGTGTATCTCCTCCCCCTGCCGCTGGGGAGGCCCAGTGGGTTGTGGGTCCTCCAGCTGACCCTGGCCCAGTGCCCCTTCCTGGCTTCCACCTGGACCCAGGGGCATGGCTGCGGTGAGAAGCAGCCCCCTAGCCGAGCGAAGGATGAGGCCCCAAAGACAGGAGCCCAGGGAGGCAGAAATAAGGCAGCCTGGACCTTTCTCTCCTGGGTGCCTGCTACTCCCCCAGGTCTCCTCGCCTCTAGTCTTGTCTGTTTGGGTCCCACATGCGTTGGTTGATGTGTGTTTTTGGCTTCCGTTGCCTTCGTGCTGTTTTGAGGCGTGTCCCTCTTCCGTTCCTGCCATCCACGTCAGTCTCTCGGTTCTCCAGTCCTAATTCCCAAGTAAAAGATCTGGTTCGTCCAGTTTATCTTTTTCAGCTAAGCCTCTGGGGCACCTTCAGCCAACAAATGGGGGTCTTTGGAGCGAGCGGTGAGACTGGGGGTCCACAGCATGTACGGTGCACCCCTTACCCCCAGTAGGGCTGTGGATGGCAGCATCCCTTGGCCGGGGGCATGGTTGTGACAGGCATCCCAAAACACATCGAATACACTAGACGTTTGCCTCCTGGAGGCGACAGCCCTTTGCTAACCTGCATTTGCTCTGGGCCCTTCCAGGGTAGATGTGGATTCCCAGCGGCCGCCCCGGCCCCTGCCAGCGCTCCCCCTAATCCACACGATGGGATTGTGAATGTGGACATTTCTGGGGGCTCCTGAGCCACTTGTGCTCTGCATGATGGGTGACGACGGCCTCTCTGAACACCCCAAACCCATGGAATTTCTCAACCTCTGCTTGGGAGACGACCTGCAGCCCTGCCCAGGAGCACACCTGCGGGAAACGCACAGCCATCCTGACCCTCCCAAACCTTGTGTGGAACAGACCTGGTCCTCTGAGCCTCCCAATTGCACGAAGCCAGATGCTCCTCCCAGGGGCTCCAGCTCAGAGCCTGTGCACCCGGAGAGCAGCCCTTCCCAGGGGGGGCCCAGGCACAAAGCAGCACCCCCCGGGTCACCTGGGAGCAGCCATCATCTGGGGAGCCCCAGGCAGAGCCAGAGCTCGTCCACCCAGGTGGTGTTCTGGGCGGGCATCCTGCAGGCCCAGATGTGCGTCCTGGACCTGGAAGAGGAGCTGGAGAAGACAGAAGGGCTCCGGGCCGAGCTGAGGTGCTGCCTCCCCACGGTCCCCGCGGAGCTCCCTAGCTTCCCCTCCAGCCCCGCCGGCCCCCGGGGCTCAGGCCTCAACCCCAGCTTGCCCGTGGAGGAAGCCCCGGGGGGAGACAGCAGCGGGCCCGAGGGGGAGAATCAGAAGCCCGAGTGGCCCAGGGAGGGAAGGCCAGACTCTTCCCCGGAGTGGGGTGCCGAGGAGGAGAGCGTGTTCTTCGACAACCCCCTCTTTTTGGAGAGCCCTTGCTCGGATACCAGCACTTCTGGAGCTCGCTTTTCCTGGGGGTTCTCAGATTCTTGCACAGACATGAGACCTGGGCCCCAGTGTCCCGAGTCCCTGGAGCTTCCACCCCCAGGAGGTGGAGTGGCGCGAGAGCCAGGTGGTGAGCCGGATTTGGGGGATGGCACATCTGATTCCAGCGGACACACCACGCCTCCATTCCCGGTGCCCATCTACAAACCTCACTCCTTCTCATGGGCCGTGGCAGACACCACCGAAGGGATCCCTGAAGCACCTTCTGGCGGAGGGGAGAGTGAGGTAAGCTGAGCCCTGGGGACTAACCCAAGGCTCTGCATGGGGACAGGGAAGGCAAGGTCTTTCTCTGGGGTCACTGAGCCCAGAACACTCTTCTCAGATGCTAAGGCCTTTTGGGATTCTGAAGTAATATAGCCAAAAAGCAGGTCCAGTGTGGCCTTCAGAATTACAGGGCATTTTTCGAATGCCATGATGTCAACAGAACATGATGGCAATTAAGTCCACAAATGTCTCCATCTCCCCAGCTTCAGGGGGTTGTGTCTGGAGAACAGACAGCTCCTCCAGCTGCAGCGTGTTCCAGGCCATTCTTAGTCTGCACCCCTCCCACCTCGGAGGCATTCCCAGCTGTGACAGGGCAGCGCCCAGCCCTCGAGGTGACCTCTGCCCCTGGCTGGGAGATGTCTGCTTTAGGAGTCTTGTCGTCTCTTTTGTTGAGATTTCAACATTTAGTTACTTTTGGTTCACCATCTTTCAACACCCCCTCCCCACCCCCGTGTTGATAGATCAGGCCCCTACGACAAGGGCAGAGGTCCTTGATACCGACTGGGACAAGTTACGGGGACAAGCGACGTGAGACAGCAGGGAGCACGGTTTTCCCAGGGAGATCTCTACTTGAGAGATAAGGAACGTCAAGATGGCAGAGTAGGGCTGTAACTTTCTAATCTCTCGGGCTGCAAAGAACAATGATAGGAGAGCCGTTAACCCGAGCAGCTCTCCTCTCTCCCCCGGCCCCAAGATCAGAGGAGCTGCTGGGGACTCTTGGAGTCTCCTCACCCAAAGGCTGGGGGGTCCGGTGTAGGGCGTTGTGGCTCCGTCCCGTGACCCTTGTTGCTCAGCACCCTTGGGGTCCTCAGAGGGAAGCCTGGGAGCTCCATCCTTGCAGCAAGTGGCATTTTCTCCCATCCCGTTGCCTGGGCGCCATCACCCTCCCTAGCATCCAGCCCATCCTGGGGCTGGTGCTGCAGCCCATGGAGGGAGGAGGCAAGAAGTCAGGGGCCATGCATGGGACACCCCGGAGGCCTCGTGGGGTGTGTTAAAGGCTGGAAGGACAGTTTCCCTCAGGTCAAACTTCTTGTTCCTCCTTCTCTCTAAGACTTCTCTGGGAGACAGCTGTGACCCCGCCGTGTCTGTAGCATCCTGTGTGGACAAAGCACTGACCTGGGAAACAAGACATGTCGGATCTGCCCCGAGCCCCGCCACACATCCTGTGCAACCCTGGGCAAGTCATTTCCTCTCTCTTGGCCTCCCCTGCCCCATCTGTATGGAGGACTGCGAGCCCAGCGACACTGGGGCCCGGCACCAGCGCTTCTGGGACGCAGGTCTTCTCCCATCCAGGATTCCTCTTCTGAACTGAGGACCCAAACTAGGCTGGACTGCGGCCATGTTGTCTGGGTGGGGAGACAGGAGGGAGGGAGGAGCCCTGGATACTCAAGTCATTCTCCCCTCCCCACCTTCCCTCTCAGTGCCTCCAGGGCTCATGGAGATCCTGTGCCTCTCTCAACAGGCCCTGCCCAGCCCTGAAGGCTGGCAGACAGAAGGGGGTCCTTCCTGGCCTCCGGTGCCTCTTCTGTCCCAGGACCAAGGTGAGAGCTAGTATGGGCTCTGGGAAATTGGGTGGTGGGAGGCTTTGGATCCAGGTGGGGACAGAGGTCACCCTGGGATCCATAGGTATCACTGAGAAGTCCCATTGTATTGTGATGGAGTCAGACAGACTTGGGGTTTAATCCTGTCTCTGCCTCTGTGAGTTCAGCAGTACAGTGGGCTTGAAAATGCTCATTGCATAAAATAAATGAAGAAACAATACAAGGCCAGCATTTCTGATGCCTGGGCCCTCGTGGCTTAGGAAGCCCTGAACCCCAGGTTGCCTGGGGACTGGAGTCTCCTGGGAGCCCTCTGGCCACTGCCTCGGCATGTGGGAGGCCACTGCCCGAAGGAGGGACAGAACGTGCCACCCAGCTCCAGGGGAGGAGCCCCGGGGAGGGAGTTCATGGAGGTGGCTCGCCAGGCTGTTTTCCCAGCTCTGCCAGGCCCCTTCGCCCTGGGTCTGCCTCTCGCCCCACGTCAGCTTCGCTCCCTGCTCTTCCTTAGGTGACAGTGATGCTGAGTGTCCCCAAGGATCTGCTCCCTGCACCTTGGCTCCTGGCCTGCTGGGGAGCCCAGCGTCTTCCCCGGAACCTAGCAGCCCCGCGCCTGAGAGCAGAGGCCCTGGCCCCCGGGAGGGCAGCCCACGGCTCTGGGGCCACCACCTGGGCAACAGTTTTCCCGAGTGGACACTAGATGCCTCATGCCCTTCACTCTTGGAGACAGACGGAGCAGAGCCGCGTTTCCTGGAGGAAGAGGCAGCAGGAGAGGCTCCAGACCCTGGGAAGGAAGTAAAGAGTGAAGGCCCGGCCAGATCTCCAGAGGCTGGAGCCGTCGTCCAGCCTGGTGCCCACTTGACTTCTACAGAAGGGTAAGTGTTAGACTAATCACCTCTCTAATTGTGGATACATTCAGAGATACCCTGGTCCAGACAGAGCATGAGAAATGCGCAGTGGGATTTAACACACTAGTATCTATTAACCAGGAGCATATGACTGAGTGCCAGCAGCTCTGAGAAATATTGGGGGGTTTGAAAGCACAAGAAACCAAGAAGCAGACCGTTACACGCGTGGGGCAGCATTTGTGTGTGCTGAGGCAATGCTCCGAGAGTCTGGACCCCGGCAGAGGAGGTGGGGGAGGTGTTCGGGGAACTTGACCGGGGCCACATGCCCAGAAAAAATAGCAGCCATGCTAGGCGGGGCTGGGGAGTGCAAGGTCAGAGCTTGTGATGTGGGGATTACACACTGCTTTGCATTTGAGGAGGAGTCGGGGAGAGATCCATCTGTGAGCCTGGCCCTGGGTGCTGGCTCAGACCTGAGAGGAAGCCAGAACACCAAGGGGAAGTTTGGCCGGAACCAAGGGGGTGGATCTTGGGACCCAGGGCAGGATTGAATAAGCCCAGAACTGTGGCCGCAGGCAGGAGCAGGACACCTGGCAGGCCAGCCTAAGTGTCCGCAGGGCCCAGGAGGCCGCATGGGGACTGTCAGCACCTGGGGTCTCCTCCCAGGAAGGAGGTGTCGTCCTCTGGCTGGCTGAGGAGGGACGCACTGAGGAGACCAGGAGGCAAGAGTGATGTTCAGGTTGCACTCACTGGAAGGTCAGCCCCACTCCTAGCTCGGTGTCAACTGGGGGATGGCGACAGAGCCTTAGGTGGTGCCAGAAACCAGAGCATTTCCCCAAGCATCTGGAAAACTCCACTGTTTCTGGAGGTGTTTGGAGGTTGGGTAATCAGGGGAGTCCCTCAGAATCTGAGAAGAGAGGGCTCTTCTCAGTCGATTCAACCCGAAATAAAAAGTAAGTAAATCCACTAAAATGAGAAGCATACTTTCATAGTAAATAATGAAAAAAAGGCTTGATTGGGACTTTTCTTGCTCTGATGCTAAATATTATATAAATAAATTAAGTTTAATCTTATTTTTGGCACAATATAGGATTAATGCTCCTGGCCTGAGTTTCCTGGCCCAATGAGATGTCTCCTTCAGGCTTGACTGTCACAGTGAGGTCACAGAGGTTATTTTTATTATATTTTATTTTACTTTTCATCTCATTTCAATTTATTTTTTTCAGTGTTTATTTTTGAGAGAGAGGGACAGAGCGCGAGAGGGGGATGGGCAGAGAAAGAGGGAGACACAGAATCTGCAGCAGGCTCTAGGCTCTGAGCTGTCAGCACAGAGCCCGACACAGGGCTTGAACTCATAAACTGCGAGATCATGACCTGAGCCGAAATCGGACGCTTAACCACCTGAGCCACCTAGATCATCCCTCAATTAACTTATTTTAATAACACCTTTATTGAGAAATAATTCACCATAGTATTCACCCATTTCAAGTGTACAATCCTGTGACAGTTTATATTTGCATTATTTTTCCCCCCAAAGTAACTCCCCATCTAGCTTTATTATTTGAGTAACAATGCTCATCGACTAGGTCATTTCTATAAACGTCTTTTGGGGTTGCCCAGCTGGGTATTCAGATAGTTCCGTTTAGATGTGACCAAGGTGTCATTATTTTTCTTCTCTTCAGCTGTCCAGTGGACTAACTCCTCCAGTTCCTTGTTTGTCAGTGACTTTCCATGTGACTTCTGGAAACTTCTGGCATCACTTACATGGACTTCATGAAATCCTAGGTTTTTTTGGGCGAGATTTGTAATTTCACTTTTCAGTGGGTCTCGTTACGCTGGCCCCGCCTTGCTGGCTGTGTTAGGAGCCTCAGGAAGCGGTGGGGAATGAGCAGCAAAGACATGCCCGGCAGTGGTGTGGGGGTCGGGGGGCAGAGATAGACGTCTGTGTTAAGGAGAGAGTGCGGCCTAATTTTCTAAGCGGTCAGTTTATTAGTGAACACTTTCACGGTCTGATGAGTTTTGCTTACCCGCACAGCTCCCTGACCGTGGCCACTTGGATGATGAGTGTGCAGATAACCAGGACACCCCACCCCCGGTTGTCACGTTGCAGGGGAAACCGAGGACTCAGGGGAAGACGGAGCTCGGTGACTTCCAGGGTTCTAACTGCCAGGCTCTGAGGGTCCCCTGAGTCTGTCGGGGCTGCCTGGGCCCCTGTGAGCTCAAGATAATGACAGGTCGCCATCTGGACTCCTGTGGTGGCTTCCTTTATCGCAGGGCCACCGGTGGTGTGAGAAGGGAGAGGTCGGAGGCCCGCCTCTCTGACTCCCGGGCTGTAGCTGTGCCTGAAGCCAGTCTGTCTTCTTGTTCTCCCCTCATCCCTGCACCTTCCGTGGCTCCAGCACTAGGGGTGAAGCTGGGGCTGGGCCTGGCAGGGGGAAGGGGGAAGGGGGCACGAGGTGTCCCGGGTAAGGTAGGACAGGTGAGGGAGATGAGGGGCTGGTGGGGTTTGGGGAGACCAATGCCATCCCTCCTGGGGATGGATTCAATGCCACTGGTGTCTTCAAAGGGCACACCTGCCACCAGAGGTGAACTAGGCTCAGAACATTCTGGTGGTTTGCCTAAGAAAGTGCCAGGTGCTAAGCTTGGCTCTGGCCCTTGTGGGCTGGGTTCTCCTGGTGCCCAGCCCAGCCCAGGCCAGGCCAGGCAGGCTGTGACCCTGCCTCCTTCCCTGGTGAGGTCCTAGCCCAGCCCCCCTCGGCCCCCACCACTCAAGGTCCTGGAGCTCCAGCTCACCTGCTGAGCTCTGGGCAGGGACTCTAAGCATCCCTTCCAGGACTGGCCTGTAGGGACACTTGACCCAATACCCCTTCCTGCCCACCCCCCGTGGCAATCTGAGCACACTGTCGGACTTTTGCAGGCTTCCTGAGAGCCCCATGCCCCAAGCACAGTCCCCAGAGGAAGGCCAAAGGCCACAGGCTGGAGACAAGCTGGCGAATGGTGTCAGGACCGACAAGGTGGCCTGGAATTTGGCCTCTCGCCTCTATCACCTGGAAGGCTTCCGGAAGTCTGAAGTGGCTGCCTACCTGCAGAAGAAGTAAGGGGCTTTGAGCCCGAGCAAGGCTGGAGGTTGAGTCAGGAGAGGGAGTGGTTGGTGGGCTCCGTCCACCTGCCGTCCCTCTTGTCCCTGTGTCCCTGCTGCCCCACTGCTGACCTTCATCCGTCATTCGTGTCCCCACCCATGCCTTCCCCATCCCCTTGCCCTGCCTGCCTCTTCCTCTTCATCACCCAGGTCACCGCCTGTCCATAGCTTGAGCCCTGCTTAGAGCCAATGGACCGGCCCCCTTGCCTCCCCTACCCAACTCCCCGTGTTCTCCCCGCTTGGTGTTGGATGGTGCCAGTGGCAGAGCCCGACTGTGCCGTTGCCCTCTTGCCCTCTCGGGACGTGTGCGGGCCCTGGGGCCCAGACCCCCAGTGCAGGCTTCATGCCCATTTCCTGTCCGCAGCAATGACTTCAGCAGAGCTGTGGCCGAGGAGTACTTGTCCTTCTTCCAGTTTGGAGGCCAGAGCCTGGACCGTGCCCTCCGGTAAGACCTCCGGGCCCTCTCTAGGGAGGAGGGGGCGCTGGCGAGGCTGGAATCTGATTGCCCCCGGGCTCTGGCGCCTGCTGGCGGCCCCAGCCTGGGCTCCATCCTGGACTCTGGCCCTCCTTCCAGGGGCTTCCTGCAGGCCCTGGTGCTCAGTGGGGAGACTCAGGAGCGCGAGCGAATCCTCTACCAGTTCTCCAAACGCTTCCATTACTGCAATCCTGGGGTCTTCTCCTCTGTAGGTAGGAAGGGGCTGGCCCTGGGTTCTGGGGTCCATGGGAGAGAGTGGCATGGAAGTGTCCCCTGGTCTGTCTACTCAGGAGTTTACTGGGTAGCGGCTGGTGGGAGTGTGTCTGGGGGACTGTGGAGAACCAGAAGCATTTGAGGGTCACCCCACCCTGCACGGGCAGGTGGAAAGGCGGGAGTCATGCTTCCAACGAGCTTTCTCTCCACTGCCCTCCCTCTGGAGCAGATTCTGTACACACCTTGACCTGTGCCATCATGCTCCTTAACACGGACCTGCATGGACAGGTGAGAGGGCGGGGCATGCTGGAAGGGGGGGGTGAGACTGGAGGCCTGGGGTGGGGGTCATGGAAGGGCCCTGGGGGAGGTAGGTCTGGAGAGCTGGAGAAGGTTCCGGAGTGGCCGCCTTGGGGGTTATTCTGTTGGGGTGAGAAGTGTGTGCCAGTGGCCCTGCTTCTCTGAATGGCTGCAGAACATTGGGAAGGCCATGAGTTGCCAGGAATTCATAACCAACCTGAACGGCCTGTGTGACGGCGGGAACTTCCCCAAGGAGCTGCTGAAGGTAATGTCGGGGAAGGGGGTGGTAATGTGGGGACGCTCCCTGGGCTCACAGTGCCAGGGCTCCCAGCCTGGGCTCAGTTCTGCCGCATTATCTTTGGGACGACAGGCTGGTTTACGGAAGGTCCTAGCTAGGTCCTAGCCAGCTGCCTCAGCACTGCCTTGGGATTTGTTGGCTTGAGGAAATTCACAGGCTCCCTGCCTTGGACCTGCTGAAGTAGGATCTCTGGGGCTGGGGCCTCTAAAATGTTCTCTTAAGCTTCCCGGCGATTCTGAGGCATGGGCGATCCAAAGAGCACTGGTCTCTTGGTCCTCTGAATGAATGAAGGGCAGAGTTTCCGGGGGCACTAAGTCTATGACATAGGAACCCGAGGTTCTAGGGTTTGAATTCTTGTCCCTTGGCCCACTTGGGCTCCTCCTGGGGTAGCAACCACTGTGTGGCATGGTCCTCACAGTGAAATAAAGATTGTCAGATGCCTAGTGTGATGCAGGGCACACAGCACGTTTCTCATACACAGTGATGGCCTTGGTTCTTCTCAAACGCTTGCTGCGTGCCGGGCATTGCCAGGGCTCCAAAGGCAAGCAGGATGCATCAACACGAATACTCTTTGTTGGAGCATTTTGGTGTTCCAGCACGTCATTTGTTCATTCGCTTACCATACATGTATTGCCCCCGTCGATCAGCTGTTCCTGCTCTGTCCCATCCCTCTGGGCAGGATGCTATGTGGCTGATCCATTTCCTTCTCAGGAGAACTAGCTCAGGCCTTACGGAGCTCAGGTAGGGACTCGGATTGCTTTGCTCACCCTGTCTCCGGCATCTGGCCCGGTGCCCGGCCCATGGTGAATGCTCCGTCAATGGTTACATGCATGCATGGGTGTGTGGATGCACGGATCAGCTGTCTCCTGCTCAGGGAAGAAGGGCAGCTGTGTTGGGGGTGGATGAGGCCGACGGCAGCCTGCTCCCATCCTACCAGTGGCTGGTAGCATTTGGGCCCCACAGGCCGAGGCTCCTGGCCCACTGTGTGCCTTCTGTTATAGGCCTTCTACTGGTCTATCCGGAGTGAGAAGCTTGAATGGGCTGTGTAAGTGAGAGCCGTCTCCTCCCCACTCCCTGCCTCTTCCCTGTCTCTGGGCCTGTCCTCCCTCTACCTGCCCCCTGAGAGTTGGAGGAGCCCCACTGGACAGTGTTCCCCACTGAGTGAGGGCCAGTCAGAAGCTGGGCCCCGGGCCCATTTCAAGCAGGTAGAGGAGCCCAGGTCATATATGGAGGGGCCGGGGGTGGGGTAGGGGGTGGGGCTGACAGGAACGGATGAGCTGGCTTAGAAGGACTCTTTTTGGGGAGTCTTGGGATATGGCTCCCCATTGCGAGAGAGGGTGGAGGGTGCCGAGGCTGTGGGTGCCTCCTGGTGGCCTTTGCCCAGTCAGTACCCCCAACCTGATTCTCTGATGTCCAGGGATGAAGAAGACGCAGCCAGACCAGAGGAGGCCCAGCTGTCTCCCACCGCAGGCAAGACGAACAAGCCCTTCCTCCAGCTGGCCCAGAACCCCACGGCACCCACCTACAAGCTGGGCATCCTGGCCCGGAAGATGCATCATGATGCAGATGGCAAGAAGAGTGAGTGTCTGCTGCTCTGCGACCATGTGGGGCTTACGTCCGCCACCGAACCAGAGTGTGCGCATGCGTGCCGCAGCGGCTCGGCTCGGGGACGCTGGCTAACGTGTGCGAGTGTGCAGAGATCGCACAGGCCAAGGACAGGCGCCCGTGTTCCTTCCTTGCTGGTGACCATGTGCTGGGTGCCGTGTAAGATGCCAGGGGCTGGGGGTGCAGGGACAGGACAGACCTGGGTACTCCCTGCCCTCCAGGGTCCCCGTGGTAAGGGGAAGTCAAACAAACGCATCGATGTCTGGGATCAAAGGTGGAGATTGCTAAGTGGTGTAGGGAGGGTAGGATCAAATGTGGGGGTGTGGAGGAGGGCTAGGTTTGGGTTTTGTTTGGGGGGGGTGAGATGTGGGGGACAGGGATGGGTCAGGCTTCTGGGAAATGATGGTATCTGAGCTGAACCTTGGAGGAACGGAGAGCAAGAGGGCATTCCTTGTAGACAAAGGAGTAGACACAGTTTGCTCTGAATGGGGGTGTGTGTGACAGAGAGTGGCAGGAGGTGCATTTGGCCTCATCCCGCAGACAGGTGCCTGCTTTAGAGCAGGCCAGCGACAGGACCAGAGCCGTGATGGAGTCCTGGATTGGACAGGGTGTGCTGAGCAGCCAGGGTCCTAGCCTTTGGCCCTGAGAAGCCACAGGGCCTGAGCAAGGCTGGGCGGGGACTCCGGGGAAGCAGGCCTTCTTCCGCGTGAGCACTGAGTCCCTGTGCCTCTCTGGATGGGACCAGAAAGATGTCTAGTGGGACTGTGCTTGTGGGTGGGAGTGTTCGGAAAGGCGGCAGTCGGCGGGGACGTCCGCTTTGGTTGTTTGTGGGGTCCAGTCGTGATTGTCCGGGCGTGAGGCGTGGCGCGTGCCTGTTTGTGACTGTGTTTTGTTGTGTTGGTATGTCGCGTGTCTCCGTGCACCCTGGGCAGGGAGGGACCGAGCTGGTGGGGCGAGGGGCCGTGTGTGTCTGGATGGGGTGCCCATCTTTGTGTAATCCTGGCACAGCACCATGGGGCAAACGCGGCTGGAAGATGTATCACACCTTGCTTCGGGGGATGGTTCTCTACTTCCTGAAGGTAGGAACAGGGTGCACACCCCTGATGGGCAGGGTGGGGGAACAGGGGAAGGCCCAGAATAGTTCGGAGGGTGGGGGAAGCTGAGGACAACCTCTCTTCTGAGCCCCTGTGCCCCGTGGCAGGGAGAGGACCACTGCCCTGCAGAGGAGAGTTTGGTGGCGCAGATGGTGGATGAGCCAGTGGGGGTGCACCACTCGCTGGCCACCCCAGCCACCCATTACACCAAGAAGCCACACGTCTTCCAGCTGCGGACTGCCGACTGGCGGCTCTACCTCTTCCAGGCACCGTAAGTCCCGGGGCAACAGACAGCAGCAAAGTCCTGGCTCTCCTCTCTCCCCATCCCTGGCTCACCCTCTGATGGCTGCGGGCCGGGGTCCTGGCCGGAGCCACCTTCTTGACCGGAAAGCCGGAGAATGCTGCAGCTGGAAAGGGTCCTAAGTTGGCCCCTGAGGCTGGTGCTGCCTGATGCTCCCACCCCCACCCCCCTGATGGCTTCCCCAATGCATCCGCCTTCTGTGTGTAAGTCCCGGTCAAGCCTCCCAGTTCCAAACAGAGGATTCCAGGAAGCCTCTAGCAATTGATCACTGTCTTGGGCATTTGGTCAAAATCTATTGCCTTCCCAGATTTTTACTCTTTGACGGGTGACTAAAACCAGAGGTCAACCACCTCGACCAGTGGCAGGGCTTCTGAGGTTTTGAGACGCTGGGTCCCGAGAGTCTGGAAGACTGCAGACCGCAGGAGGCTGTGGGGAGAGGGGCAGGACCGACCTTGTGACCTTGGGGACCCACGGCCTCCTCTGTCCGCAGCACCGCTAAAGAGATGAGTTCCTGGATCGCGCGCATCAACCTGGCGGCCGCCACGCACTCGGCACCGCCCTTCCCCGCCGCGGTGGGCTCCCAGCGCAGATTCGTCAGGCCCATCCTGCCCGTGGGCCCCGCGCAGAGCTCCCTGGTACAGCCTCCGGAAGGGCCGGGTGCGGCGGGGAAGGGGGCTGCGCGGGACCGGGACGAGAGGGGAGGTGGGAGGGAGGGGCTGCACACCTACGCCTGGAACAGAGGGAGGGGTGCACCTGGGCCCGGGAACAGAGTGGGCAGCGGGGGTGGGGGAGGGTGGGGGGTGCGCACCTGGGCTCGGGAACAAGTAGGGTGAGTGGGCTGCAAACCTGGGCCCGGGAACGAAGCGGGGGTTTGCGATGGGCTATGCACCTGGGCTCGGGAACCCGGGGGGAGCGGTGGGACAGCGTCCCCCTCTGCCTCCCGCTCCCAGGAGGAGCAGCATCGATCCCACGAGAACTGCCTGGACGCTGCCTCCGATGACCTGCTAGATCTGCAGAGGAACTTACCGGAGCGGCGGGGCCGCAGCCGAGAGTTGGAGGAGTACCGCTTGCGGAAGGAGTACCTGGAGTATGAGGTCAGGCGCCCCAGTCTCCGCCCGCCCGATTCTCTCCCGCCCCCTCGGCTGGTCCCTCTGCCGCCCTCTCGTGGCCGCATCCGTCCTTGCAGCCTTAGTCTCCAGGCTGCTCGGGCGGAGGGAGGCCTTGTATGCACACTTGCGGGCAGGGCGTGCGCGAAGTGTGCGTGTCCTTGTGCACTCAGACCTCTTCACTTCTTGTCCTGGGGGCACCCAGCAGCTGCTTGTCTGCAAACACTCACAGGGGACGTTATTTTTATAACTTTCTTTCACCCAAGAGTATACTGTACTTGGCTTTCCCTAAATTGAAGGAAAAACTATTTTAGTTGAATTATTTCCCCTAATACCTACCTAGTACTAATAGGCATGTAACACTAATGGAGCTTGTATTACATGACTCTGTTATCTTGTTTAGTTGTCTAACAACTCTGGGGTAAGGACTGTTGTCCTCACTTTACAGATGAGGAAACTGAGGCACGGAGAGATTAAACAGCTTGTCCAAAAATGATGAATTCACATGCTGCTCCAGTCAGGGCCGAGCCTCGTTTATATGAGCCCTATGATCGATTCCAAAATGTCTTATCCCCTGACCCCCCACCTGAGACCCAGATTCTGCTACGGCCTCTTGTCCGTGCACCTTCTGGGACCCAAAGCAGGGGGTAGGTGAGGGGCATTGTGAGAATGGAAAAGCAGAGGTCAGAGAAGGGAGTGTCTTGTGTCATCCCCTGGGGCTGTGAGCACTGGGCCTCGTGCTGCCCTCTCCCTGCTAACGTCCAGCTGCAACCTCTCGCAAAGCCCCTGGCCCTCCCCAGACCTCACTCCCCTCTATGTAGAGCAGAGATAATGACTTGTGGGCCACCCAGCCACCCAGGGCTGGGCTGAGGGTCCAGCGTGATGGAGGATGGGAATGTGCTTGGTTGCCGGGACCTGTATCCAAAGGCTGCTAGTTACGGAGGCCTCGGGAGCGTTAAACAGATGAGGGTAGTTAGCATCTCTCTCTCCAGATGCCAATTGTTAAAATGCTATTCAGACTCAATTAGGCTTCGGTACAGATGTGAGCTGTTTGTGCGCTGTGCTGCACAGATCAGGCCTAGTGGGTTATGGATCTTTTAGTGGTTTGGAGATGTAACATGTTCTGGAGACGTTAGTTACGGCACTCCAAGGTGGTGGCAGTTAGGATAGGGCTGGGCCCGGGCAGTGAGACCTTCCTGGTAACCACAGGGCTCGGATGTGAGGCTGCTGAGCTCTGCAAAGTCTGGCTGCTCGAATGCGGTGCAGACCTCGGCTGTCTGCCCCCCACGATTCTAGCTTCCTCGTCCCCTGCACCCAGGGAGGCGCTAAGGCGGCGGGGCCCATGTGTTGCAGAAAACCCGCTACGAGACGTATGTGCAGCTGCTGGTGGCCCGTCTTCGCTGCCCATCGGATGACCTGGACCTGTGGGAGGAGCAGCTCGGGAGGGAAGCTGCAGGCACTCAGGAGCCCAAGCCCAGCCTGAAGAAATCTCACTCGAGCCCGTCGCTGCACCAGGACGAGGCCCCCACCACGGCCAAGGTGAAGCGCAACATCTCAGAGCGCAGGACGTACCGGAAGATCATTCCCAAGAGGAACCGCAATCAGCTGTAAAGCCGACGCCACCTCACAGACTGTCCCCTGCTCGGGGTGGACCTGTGATGAGACCCCACGGAGGAGCGTCGTGTTTCAGTGGGTCCGTGGTGCAGGGCGCGGCCTTCCCCTTCACCCAGAAGGACAACGCCTGTCCCCCTGTGGTCCTCGCTCTGTCCTGTGTTCACTGGAGCTTTCCCAAACTGCTGTGTCCACCCCGATGGCAGCCCCCAGCCGCCCCAGGCCCCGGTTACTCCCAAGGGAGGAGGGAGGTCAAGGACGTGTGCTCGCATGTCACCCTCTACCCGTCCACAATCCACAGTGGCCACATTTCTTGGGCCGGGAGGCAGCTTAGTGCTCATTTGAGAATCAGAGTAGCCCTGGGCCCTGGGCTTCCAGAGACAGGCTGGGGCAGAGGAAGCCTCTGGGCAGTCAAGTCAGGGGAGCCATAGCCCTGAGGGTGATCTTGCCCTGGGGATCAGGTGACCTGCTCTGAGAGGTCCTGGGAGACCCCAGCCAGCCCCAGCCCCGGGTGACAGAGCACAGGGTCGGGCAGGGACTCCGAAGGCTTCAAGGACCAGCTCGGTGAGGCTGACTCTGGGGCCCTGGGCCTTTGTCTCCTTTCCCTCATACGCATCTGTGCACCAGGGGCAGATGAGACAGGCCCCACGTCACACACCCAATTGCTAATCATCAGAGTAGAGCCAATGGTGGGCCGGGAGGGCCAGAAGGGGTTGGGGCCTCCAGAGCTCTGTGGAGAGGAACAAGGGGCCTTTGTTTCCCCAGAGCAGGGAAGGAGGTTCTCCAGGGTGGGACCCTGAGAGAGGCTGGGGGGCAAGAGGCGGTGTTGTCTCCCTGGGGCTCTCGGCAGCAGCTTGTCTGAGAGCCCTGAGGGCCAGGTGGAAGGCTGGCCCCTTCCCACACCCCATTCCTTGCATTTCATTCCCAAGGAGGGGCCCCGCCCCCCCGCCCTCCTGCCCCCGTGCCCCCCTGCCAGCTCACAGGGAGCTGTGCTGCCCTCCCTGGGAAGTCCCCTTGTGCTGCCCTCTGGCTGCCTCCCAGCTGGGCTCTGGGGGAGGTTCCGGACACTCACGGACCCAGGCTCTGCCTGTGGGAAGGAGGCTGGGCTGGAGGGGCAGCCACCATTGTCTCTGTTCAGCCAAGTGTGCCAGCCGGCTGCCGGCCAAGAGGGGCCTCTGCTGCCTGTCTGCCGCCTGCTGGCCGACACACTGCCTCTCTGGCCTTCCCACCGGGGCCCCTCTCCTCCCGTCCGTGCCTGTCACCAGCCCTGGGGCCTGGAACGCCACCAAGTGGGGGTAGCCCTTGGGGGACCGTGAGGGGTGTCCTGCCAGGGCCCAGGGCTGGGCCAGTACCCAGTGGATACATGATCAATGCAGGCCAGTGAAGAAGGAGGTGTGCACGAATATGTGAGGAAGGGGAGGGCCAGGCCGGGCCGAGCAGCTGGGGCCGCCTGCAGAGTGAGTCTGGGTCTCCCTTTGCCCCGGCACACCTGTGCCTAGGCGCATCTGCGTGTGCATGTGTAGGTGTGTGTGCGCCTGTGTGGGGAACGCACCGTGCAGGAGTCACACATTCATAGGCTGTCAACGTAGAGGGGGACCTCGGGATCCCGTGTTCGTCCGTTCATTCCTTCATTCATTTCACAAATACTTTTGACCTCTTCTTATGGGCCAGTACGAGGGGATTCCAAAATGACTTGAACATGTCTCTGGCCTCTGAGGTAACAGTCCTGTTGTCTGGCTCCTTACTGTCAATGTAGAAGCACACTTTATCCTGCTGGTAAAGACGCATTCCCACTCTTTGCTCAGGGATTTGGATTCAGGAGGTCTGGGCCAGGGGCACGGATATGTATGTTTAATGCAGCCTGGGTCACCGATGTGCAGTTAATAGGTGAAAACCTAGCATTAGGTGGATGTGACTTGCCCAGGACTGATGCTTACAAGCTTAGCCTTGAGTGCCTTATTTGACCTCACTGAACATGTATCCTTATTTCTAAAACCAGAATAAAAGGCAGAGGTTCGTCTGCATTTGTGCATATGTGTGGCCCTTCGATGCATCTTTGCTTATGTAGAACAGGCGCCTCTTTCACCCAGGGCACATGAAGCCTTCGGAGACAGGTGGTGACAGCAGGGCCCGCCTGGTCAATGCTGGGGAGGCTTGGCTGGGCCTGCAGACCCGGTGGTTAGGCTGCAGTTCTGACATGTGACCACTAGAGAGAGGGCTTGCATCTTTCAAGCTTCTGGAGCCCTCGTGTCCAGCCCTGCTCCTTGAAGAAGAGGAAATTAGTCTGTGCGTCCCCACCCATCACCAGAACCAGGACCTCCCGCTTCCCTAAATGCGCAGTGGTCCAGACCAGGCCTCCCACCTTGTGGAGAAGTCTTTCAAGCAAAGGGTTGGGACTCTGACATCTGCAGATGGAGAGGAAAAGGGGTTTCTGGAGCTGGTGGGGGGAGGGCAGCCTAGAGTTCCCTACACAGCTGTCCCTACAAAAGTCAAAAATTGAGTGAGCTCCCAATCCTAATCCCGAGATGGGGGGGGCGGGGCAGATCCAACTCATAGGCCCGTGTCTGACCTTGTGCCCACCCTTGCTTCCATTCCCACCTGGGAAGTGGGGTTGGTGCATCTCTTTGCGGAAGATGGGACGGGCACCAGTTCTATAAGGCTGGCTGAAGTTTGTGTTTGGTTCCTGTCCCTTCTAGGGGAGCTCAGCCTCCAGGGCCGTGGGCCCGCTGTGACCCAGGTGACACCCCAGATGTCACCTCTTCCTAGTCTCCCACCACCTCTGTTTTGTGTGGCTTTCTACTGATAACGTTCATTTGTTGGTTGTTTGCCAGGCACCGGGGAAGAGTAAAAGGCCACTGAGGCCCAAAGCTTGAGACCTTCCCTTTGGGGGTCAGAGTCAGATGGAGACGACAGGTGGGCTGTGTTGGAATGAGGGGCCTGGAGGAATGGGATGAGCCAGGGCAAGGGAAACATGGCAGCAAGGGTGAGCCCGGGCCTGGATGTGTGGGACTTTGCCTGCGGCCGAGGAGTGTGCTTTACCAGCAGAAGAGGCACAGGCTCGTGGCTTGGGGGGCAGCCAGCCTGGGAGAAGGCTCTAAGAAAACGAAATGACTTAAGTGAATAAGTCAGTGACCCTACTGATAAGTAGGGTCAGACTATGGCCTGAAGACACTCTATAACTATGCAACTTTTCTGTAAGTGTAAAAAAGTAAAAGGCCTGGGAACTTAGGACAGCCCGGCAATCCCACATCTGGCCCTTCTTCCTCCCTTGCCCCCACCCCCACGTGCATGCAGGCACATACTTGAACGTACCTCTGGGTTTCCTGAATGCCATACTCCATAATGGCTCCTCCCCACCGCTCCTCTGCCAACTTTTCTGGATGTCTCTGTCCCCGTGCTCACACCTTTATCTGTCCCTTCCTCTTTCCTTCTCTGGAAGAAGAGGTGCTCACTGCATTCCTGGGACTGACCTCCTCCCTGAGACCACACACCACCTCTGCTTCTGCCTGCCATGACTTCTCTCCCTCGGAGGTCCCCCCGGGTCTCTGGGCTGACTGTCTACCCCCTTCCTTATCCTGCCTTGTAAACAACTTCCAGTATATCATCCCCATGAAGAAAAAGAAAAAGAAAAGCTTGCATCTGACTCTTGGCTTCCTAGCTGAGACCCACAGATGTGTGGTCTTTGCCAGCTCTTTCCCTCCCTCATCCGGCTCCCGTTCACACCTGGTTCCCATTCACACCTTGCAAAGTGGCTTCCTTTCTACTCTTCTGTGAAATGGGGACACACCAGAAGGACCACTGATGCCACTCAATCATCAAATCCCATGTCTTGTCAGCCTTCATCCCCCTCACCTCTCAGCGACCTTTGACCCACAGACCTGTCTGACCCTGCACAAGGCCCAGTGCACTCTGGTCTCAGCAGCCAGGACCTGGAGTCGGACTGCCCGGGGTTAAGTCCCAGCTGCCCCTTTGTGGCTCTCTGACCATGCTGGTTACTTGGCCTCGTTCACTTTGCTTTGCTTCTCTATCAAACGGGGATAATGATACTACTTACCTCACAGGGTGCTTGTGAGGAATAAGTAAAATTATGCACGTAAGCATCTCAGAACAATGCCTGGCACAGATGGAAAAGCCTAGCAAGTTAGCTATTAGTCCGCGGGCTTGCTGGCCTGACCACGTGCACCCTCCCCTCCTTGGGGCCCTGCTTAGTTTCTGCTCTTACAACTCAAGGCCTTGGCATTCCCTCTGCCTGGACATTGCAAACAACTAATCTTAACTCCAACGGGCTTTAGCAAAAAAAAAGACATTTAATGGATCCCCCAATGGAACAGTCTATATCCAGGTCAGGTGAGGCTTGAGCTAGGGCTCCATGCTGAGCCGGGCCCCCATTGCCCTCTGTGCTTCTGAGCTCCCTCTCCCAGACCAGGAGGCAGGCGCCACCCTCATGGTACCAAGATGGCCCTAGTAGCTACCATCTTCTTGGTGTAAATCTAGCACATAGACCCTATCTGCTTCTTGGAAAGTTCAAACTCAAGTCCAGGAACAGAGTCCTTCTGAGCTGCCCACTTCGAGCCACGTGCCCATCTCTGAGCCAATCACTAGGGTCAGGGACCCCAAAGGATGGGGACTGGGACCAAATCCTGAGTACTAACAGTACCAGGAAGGGGAGAAAACAACTATTTGGATGCCTTCTCCTCCAGGAAGCCTTCCTTGAGCCCTGCTCTCCCCATTAGGTCTGTAACTTTCTACATCTCTCCCTTCCCCCATCCTCCTCACATCCCCTGCCCTCTCCTTTCTGTCTCTGCTCCAAACAGAACATATTCTTCCCAAGGGTAGGAGCAGGGCATGCTGGTTTCCATTGCTCTGAGCCCAACACCTGCGGGCAAGAAGTGTACATCTCGAAACCTTATCCCTCCTGGGCTTCCAGCCTCCATGTTCTCCTGGCTCTCCTACTTTCATACATGGTCTTTTACTGTCTTTCCTCCACTTGCTTCTCCCACCCCCGAAGCCAGCCTTCCCCCAAGGTGCAGCCTTGCAGAGGCCTTCAAGAGAGCTTCTGGGAAAGCCTCATGATGTAAGCCTTCCGCTCTGGTCTCCTCTGCATTTCAGACCCAGGGGTCTAACTGTGCAGGACGCGGCCCTCAATAACCTTCCTGGAGATGGTAAGTACAGATATACTCCCCTGTTTCTACTGATGATTCTGTGACATTGATTTGAGAGGCAATGCACCACGATTATGAAGATATTTGAGCCAAATGGGCATCTACCTCACCTGTGGTGTCAGGGAGAAGTTTCTGGTTTCCTGATGTCTTTGTCTCCATCTGGTGAGACACGGACAGGGTCTGGGGGAGGTACACGGCCAGAAAAGCGATGACTCTCTCATTCACCGAGCGAGGACAGGAAAGTGACCCTTCCACCTGGCCGCCAAGAGGCTCGAGGCCGATTTACAGATCAACTGCGGCTGCTCAGGACCACTCCTTGTATATTTTCTGCGGTCCCCATGCTTTATTTCGTATTTGTGTTTTACTAATTTATTGCATGCATTTCCCATGAGCTGTCTCGAATCCTCTCTGGAACAAGGTGGGGAATACATTAATATTTAAAATAAAATAAACAAAATGTCAGTGTGCGTGTGTGTGCGTGTGTGTGTGTCTTAGGCTGGAAATTCCTTAAGGGCAGGGACCATGTCTGTTTATATAGCACCTGGCACATTGTCAAATTGAAGCTTAACAAATGAATTTTGATGAAGAGGGAGAAAGAAGCTGTCTGCACGAAGATACGGAGATTTAGACTGAACCCTCCAGCTACCCTTCAGCCAAAGCCCCTTTTTTGAAGGGGTGCCCTTCATATGCTCTGTTCTTGACCATCCTGGTTCCCTCCTGTCGTCCCTCCTGTCCACACTCCTCAGGACCAACCTGTCCTCACCCATACCCGCTCTCTTGTAGACATTCCCCTTCCTCACACAAACACAGCCCCAGACACACCGCACTCGGGGCTTCACCCCAAAAAGCCCCGCCCACCCTTTCACCCACCGCCCCAGCCCCACAGGCTCCGCAGAGGCTGGGCAGCGGTGAGGCGCTAGGAAATACCACTGAGCCCTTGGAGGTGCTGTCCCTACTCGTGCCTTGGCCCTGTGGGGGCCTCCAGCCAGGCGGGGACCTGGCAGAGGGAGGGAGAGGATAAGCCGCTTCAAAACTCCAGATGCAGCAGTTAAAAAGAGGACAGAGGCAATGATCCTTCAAATTGCCACATCTGTATAATCTGCCTTTTATTTTCTGCTTCATGAAGTTTTATTTCCTATTATTTATTCACCTCCCCGCCCTCCCCTCCCCCGCCTCCGCTCCTCCTTAGCAGGCGACATGCTCAGATGGGCCCTGAGCCTTGGCCGGGGTCTCCGGCCCACCCCCACCCAACCCCCACCCTGGGCTGGCTGATGGGAGAAGGCACCTGCTCCCCCTCCTATGGCGCCCCCCAGCATCATGCTGCTGCGGCCCCTCCAGGCTCCTCCCTCCACCCTCCAAGGGGAGCTTGGCTGCAGTGTGATAGGGGGAAGGGATCAGGGATGTGAGGCCTGTCCCCCAAGACTGCTGTCACTGTCACCACCGCTTAGCAGGAGCTTATGGGAAAGAAGAACCCAAGGCCCTAGAGCCCACAGCCAAGTGGTCTCCATCCCTATGTACCTTCTCCCAGCTCTCCTCTCCTGTGTCTCATTTCCCGCCCCCAAGGCCTCTTCTGCTCCTCCAGACTGTGGTCAGAGAGCTGTGGGGGGAAGCCTGCTGAGCATGAGAGGGGTGTATTGAGACGGGAAGAAGGGGGACCAGCCAAGCCTGCACAGGGAGGGGGCAGCTGCCCCGCTGGTTTAAGACCTGAACCCCCTCATCTTGCAGGGACAGAGAAGCCGCGGTGAGAAAGACCCAGGTCTTCCGGTCCCAGGCTGTGCAGAGGTACTCCCCTGTTTCTGTTGATGATTCTGACAGTTCTGTGACAGTTGTCCGGCCAGGCTGGAGGGCAGGGAAGGGGGTGTTTGGGAAAGG